TTGTTGGTAGAAGATGTTAAAATATGTTAAAGGATGTTTGTGAATTTTTTTCGCGATGCGAACTGCGTCCACGGTAGCTTGATGGGGAAGGTTGTTCCGTTTAAATTGATCTCTCGAGCTAGTGGCTGCGATTTTTTTCGGAGGAGACACAGAGTTTTGGAGTTTTTGTGAGGAGTTCATCACTTTTTCCGCTTGGTGGGGAAGGTTGTTCTGCTTCAATTGATCTCTCGAGCTAGTGGCTGCGATTTTTTTCGGAGGAGATACAGGGTTTTGGAGTTTTTGTGAGGAGTTCTTCACTTTTTCAGCCGGTTCTCCGGCTGCCCAGAGTTGTAACAGGTGGCAGGTGCATTAGCCGTCTTCATCCTCCACCGGAGGTCGCACAGGACGCGGTCGCTCGATCCTTCCCGTGAATCTCTCAACTCATCTCTGATTTGGCAGAGATTTCAGTTTCCGCTATCTCGGCGGCGTTCTTACGAAGCTTTGGTGCATGGACGTTGGAACGACAGGTGGCGCTTCGCGGCGCACTTACTTATCGCGGCGTAAAGTCGAAGCAGGCGTCCGCGGTTGGTGCGGGGCGCGCGCGCAGTCGCGGGCAGTCGCGGTTCGCGCGTGCTCCAGGGTGTCTGAGGCATACGCAGTGAGTAGGACGGCCAGCGCGAGGAGTAAACGGACTAAAGTCGGCACCTGGCGTCTACTCTCCAGCCGAGGAACATCGGGCCGCGGTGTACTCGCGGGCGTAGCGCGCATTGGCGCGCCCCGCGCACAGGAGAGCACAGGTGTATCGGGTCTCCGGTAACATATCGGGAGGCAGCCTCGGCTCGTCGGTGGCGGTCAGTAGCGAGAAAAAATGGCGGATGTGGACCTGAATATTGACAACCTGATAAAGAGATTGTTGGAAGGTACGTGAGTTGGGCGGCGGTGGTCTCGGCTTCGAGGCGAGACACGACGGGCCGACGTAAACTCGGGATTAAGCGGGGAAACGCCGAGGCGAGTCCCTCCGTGCGTCCGGGGTGTACGTTGCCCGCCAGTGGAAACAAACCACTCTGCTCACTTTTCTGTGTCTCGCTGTTGAACGCTGCGTTGGCTCGTCAGTAAGTCTGCTGGTCCGCGCGACTCGACTCCGGCTCCGGAGAACTCGCCTTCTCCCCGGCCGGGCGTTCTCGACGCGGCCACGAATCTCTCCCCTTTCTTCCACTTGATTTCATTTATTTTCTCCTTTAAATAGTCTTTCTTTTTGTTCTCTCTCTCATGCTACGTTTCGGGACCTTTTGCGGTAAAGTATACCACACGCAGAAAGATAACCAGGTTCAGAAGAAAGCCAAGCTTAAAGATATTTTCTCCTCGGACTTTGTTGGTACGCAATAAGGATCCACCCCACGTAGCCTTTGTTTCGGTTGCGACGGTTGTCTTGACGCTGCGAGGAAGTCCCGGACCCTTGGTCCACCCTGAAACGTCCTACTAGACGTTTGCACGGCTCCGTTGAATTTGTCGAGTCCACTTTACTTTTTTACTCTCTCTCTCTCGTATGCTTCGTCAAGTTTTCCGTTACCTTGTCTCTGGTATTTTTTTTTTCTTTTAAAGTTCGCTCCGTGGACTCCTGACCTTTCTTTACGTTTCGTTTATTTATCTCGTGGTCATTTTATTGCGGACGATATGTCCGGTGTTCCCTACAGCGTTAAGAAGTACCATTATTTTCTATGTAAATTTATTTTGTAATTTGCAGTCCCACCAGTTTCAAAGATCTTGACCGGTACGGCGTACAGCTTTGGTTTTGTTGGAACACTTTAGCAGTGATTTTATTCAGTGGCTTCTGTTTCACGTTTTTCATTTGCGGCATGATAAGATGTGGCCATTGGCACGATGTCTATGGTCCGATGTCACGAGACGATGCGATTCCTCGAAGCTTCTGGGACGTTGACATATTCCTTTAATGCTGACAGATCATTTGGTCGAAGCATCGCCATAACAGAAACGGTGTCTTCACTTCTGTGAATACAATGATTGTAAACACGTATTTTGCACGCCGCTTGTTTGCCATTATTTGGAGTGGTCGCATGTTTTTGTATTTAGTTGAATAGTTGGTGTTAATAATTATTTCATAGACAAAAGCATGCAAAGGACTATACTTCGAGGTATTTTGTGCTTCGGTCGCTTGGCTTGCCCAACCTCGTCACATAGAAGCTTGCACATAAATCATTCGTGCATAGACTCTCATTTATGTTGGACGCAATCTTCTAAATTTAGAGTTTGTGTACACGCAAACCCACGCCTCTTACTACACTTCAAACCATGAAACGACCGGGTTTCAGAATCTTGGCACATCTTCCACCTAACCCTAAATTCAGTGTACGCCGTACTTAATAGGGCACCGTTTAAGTTGCATATAGATGATTGGCATCACGATGTTAATGGTCGTTTTATTTTCCATAATTATTTAGGTATTAAAAACAGCAGAAGTGAGGTGTTCTTAGAGGTTGAGTTTTTTATGAAGTGCACTACGGTTACTTTAAGTTACATTAATGGGAAAATCAATATGTTCAAGGTGTCTTGTTTTTCATTAGTAGCACAACGTGCTAGCATAGATAATAAAGAATGATAAGCACGTTCATGCTGATCAAAGTTTTGCACCTTAGTCATACAAGTGAAGTACAAGAAATTGATTCTATTAAACTTCCATATTTGAAAATGTTTATAAATGCTCATCTCTGGTTTATAAAAAATGATCTGTTTGCATCGCGAATGGTGGACAGAGCCGCAATAGCGGGAAAATTATTTGGTATTGTTCTTTTTTTTGTATTTACTTTTGATACAAAATATACATGTTATACAACACCTTCCCCGTTGTTTACAATATCGTTAACGAGTGTACCAGCAATCAGATAATACTACAGAGATTCGATGCAATAATTCTAGCTGAAAAGGCTTGACTATTAATGTTCCGCTAAGTGGAAGTTATTACATCAGTTGTCTACACCATCCTAATCAATAAAGCCTTAACTAGAGTTTTTACTGCTGAGATAAATGAAGTCGTTCGTCTTAACGATGCTTTATATCAGAAAATGTTTTAAACAATACCTAGTCTGTACATAATCTTATATAACTTTTGCACGATACATTTGTTTACATCACACTTCGACATCTGAACTACTTTAAGTGTCATGGAATGCAGTCATAATGTCGTCATTTAACTCAGTGGTACAACTCAATTATTTGCAGGTCTACCACTCCATCATAAAACCAATCAACTATGTACAAAACGACACTACCTGTACGATCTACTCGCTAGGCAATCGTTATAACCTATTTAGATACAGTAATTAATTGATTTAGTATACTGTGGTCGACAGCAGTCCATCCTGCGTTTGATACTAGAGTAGAGAGTATTTCTGAGAACAGTATCCTCGTTCGTCGAGTGACACATTGGTCGATTTTTGGTCCTACCCTCCGTAGAGGTCTGCTCGGTGTTTATTTCCATCAAAGATGCAGTTCAAAGGTATTACGACTAATACATCCGTCTGATTTCTTTTTTATCTAGTACGAGGATGTCGTCCTGGGAAGTCTGTCATAATGACAGAGGCCGAGGTGCGTGGACTTTGTCTGAAGTCTCGGGAGATCTTTCTGCAACAACCGATCCTTTTGGAATTGGAGGCTCCGCTTAAGATCTGCGGTGACATCCATGGACAGTACACCGATCTCCTACGGTTGTTCGAGTACGGAAGCTTTCCACCGGATGCCAATTACCTCTTTCTTGGAGACTACGTCGACAGGGGGAAGCAATCGCTGGAGACGATATGTCTGCTGCTTGCTTACAAAATCAAGTATCCAGAGAATTTCTTTTTACTGCGCGGGAACCACGAGTGTGCCAGCATAAACAGGATATATGGGTTCTACGACGAGTGCAAGCGCAGGTACAACGTCAAGCTGTGGAAAACCTTTACGGATTGTTTCAACTGTTTGCCCATCGCCGCGATAGTGGACGAGAAGATTTTCTGCTGCCATGGTGGTCTTAGTCCTGACTTGCAGGTGAGTTGTCAGATGTTTCCAAAAACTCTGCGTCTCTGGTACATAACCTGAAATTCGTTCGGTATAACCTAAAAGATACGGAATTGCTCTTATTCGTAAAAATTCTTCTTCGTAGGGCATGGAACAGATTAGGAGGATCATGCGTCCAACCGATGTACCTGACACAGGGCTGCTCTGTGATTTACTTTGGTCCGATCCCGATAAAGATATTCAGGTACGATGCGGTACATTATCACTACATAATTAAATTTTCTCTTTTATCAAGTCCCATTGTCTTTCTAACCGTCTTCAGTATGAGTGTGTTTAATTTCTAACTGTCGTGACGAATTCCTTCAGGGTTGGGGAGAAAACGACAGAGGCGTGTCTTTCACGTTCGGTCCCGACATCGTGTCGAAGTTCCTGAACCGTCACGACATGGACCTGATATGCAGGGCGCATCAAGTCGTCGAAGACGGTTACGAGTTCTTCGCTAAGCGCCAACTCGTCACTCTGTTCTCGGCGCCGAATTATTGCGGCGAGTTCGATAACGCAGGGGGCATGATGAGTGTCGACGACACCCTTATGTGTAGCTTCCAGGTAAAGGATTTACGTCTAATAATGAATAAACTCGGCCCTGTAAGTTTTCCTAAGTAGTCAGAAAGTGTAGGGTACATGGAGATGGTGGAACAGATACGTACTTAGATATCGCTTTATGCACAATATCCCTATTTCCGGCAGATCTTGAAGCCGTCCGAGAAGAAAGCGAAGTACCAATATGGCGGCATGAACGCAGGCCAGGCCGGAAGACCGTCGACGCCACAGAGAAATCCCCAGAAAAAGAAATGACCGCCCACTGCTGATCCTGCATAGCAGCAAACACTGTCGTTCTAGGTAAGACGACGGCCACGTTAGCTCGGCCTAGAAAATCCCAGCTTTCGAAATTGCCGGAGAACGCGTGTCGCAAGACCAAAGAAGCTCGCCAAAGGTCGTCCCCCTTAAATCTCTTAAACCAAGCTTTCCCCTACCCGCTGTGTTTCAGTTACAGGACGTCTCGGTGCATCCAAACTTAAGAGAGTATAAAAGGAAAAAGAACTTAAATATAACTTAAAGGAGTTAATCGTATAAGAATTACCTCTTCCTCGATCGCATAGAAGAAAAAAGGAACAAGATGAAGAAGAAGAAGGAGAGAGAGAGCATCGGGGACGATCAGGCGGCAGCGGGAGATACTCGAAGACGGGGCGTATCGCCCTGACCAAGTGGAAAAACCGGCGACGATCGAAGGGCTACGGGAAATAGAAAGGAAAATAACTGGAAACCCAAATATAAGGGAAATTCCCCTAGAAGGTTCTCGAAGAGTCGCAGGCTGGGCCATGCTCGACGGATTTAAATTGCCCTGCTGCCGAGTGGTAACTACCGAATGCTGATCGATACCTTAGGTAGGTAACGAACGTGTAAATATGTCGCCGTGGTAGAAGGGAAGAAGGAAAAACACCGGATGCGAAAAGTCACGGTTTTTTCGGCAGCAATATCCTTCGATCGCCGCGCGCATGGATCTCTCGCTGGTCGCCCGGTCGTTCCCACCCCCTTGGATAATTTATAACAATCAAAGAACGTCGTGTAAAAATGAATAAAGCGTTAGGTTTGATTTAACGTTGATCCAAGATGCGGTGGACCGTTTGGGGGCGCCCGAGATATCTCCGCAAGGGAGCGAGCGATCGCTTAGTACGGCGGAAAATGTTAAAACGGACCTCCGGGGCAAGCTGTAGACTTTTCATTTGTGTCTCATTTTTCGTTGTTGATTTTGACGATCTCTCGCCGATGGGTAAAGACAGGCCAAGCTCTTTCTGTAACACCGTCGTATAATTGGATATGTCATTCGGTAGTTGGGGCTTCGTTCCTTAGTTTTGCGGAGTCTCGCAGCAGTCGTACGAGGAGTCCTCTATCCCGCAACTATTAGCTTTTAATCGCATTTCGACACGGTCATTTAATTAATTTATTTCTTTACTACTGTAATCGTTTCCTTTATTACCATTATTATTATTATTATACATATATGTAAGCGTGGTACTGATGCGCGTGTATGTGTATACCCTCGCGTATACGCGCATTGATATCACCCATACGTTTATACGTATAACGCATTACGCCTGTAATTATTATCACCGCGAATCGACTCTGCAGCTTATTTAATATCATTGTTGATTGAACGAGGCACGCCGTATAAATATATACACATATATATATATTTTTTTTTTTATACGTCGTTTATCTTTTGGTTCTCCCAGTATTCTCGACGACGTTGATTCTTAACGAGACGCTTTTCTGCATTAAGTGCGCGTGTGTGTGTATGTGTGTGTGTGTGTGCGCGCGCGAATGCGGCGTGGCGTGTGGGACTTTTGGTTCTAAGCCGGCGATGAAGAATGAAAGAGAGGGGGAGAAAGAGAGAGCAGTATTTTTCAGAAGACGCTTCTGATATCGACGATTAAGCCTTTACTCGATATGCACCTGAAGAGGGATTAAACGTACTAGATAGAGTAGACATTAATGTTAATGACTATTGTCTATTCGGGAAAGAATCGGCGTGTCTGGGTCCTCTCGAGTTTCGGCCGAGTCTCGGAACAAGGATTGCGTTCTTCCTTAACCCTGTCGCGCCCACCGCCGGTTATATCCGGCATCCACTGGATGCTTCGCCCTGGCCACCGCCGGATATATCCGGCGTATTCACTAAACGCGTCATTTTTAAAACTTATACGCAAATGTATTACTAAAGTACATCTAGCAATTTTCCGGGAGACACCGTTAACCCTTAACGCTCCAAGTGTGTCTCTGAAGCACCACCGATGTGCGGCGTTCTACTCTTACAATTAAGGTACCTGAGGTGTCCCCCTCCGATTTTGTTCATTTTTAAATATGTTATAGAGGATTAAAATCTAAGGGACCCGTGTTTTTTTTTTATCGGCGGATAAACACTTTTAGGGGGTGAAGTCAGGCTTCAAAGTTGGCCGTGCAAGGGGTGAGTTGGCTGTTTCATATAGAAGCACTCGACCGATTTTCATGAAACAACCGTCAAAATGTAGGGAATGAAGAATTATGAAACGTGCATTTGGAATTTCTTGAAAAAGAGCAATTACTGCTCGCGTAAGGGGTAAAAGAAGTATTCAAAGGGGTGGCTCACCCCTTAAAAATGAATTTTTTCGAGAAATTTCTAAATGCATGTTTCATAATTCTTCATTCCCTACATCTTGACGATTGTTTCATGAAAATCGGTCGAGTGCTTCTATATGAAACAGCCAACTCACCCCCTTGCACGGCCAACCTTGAAGCCTGATTTCACCCCCTAAAAGTGTTTATCCGCCGATAAAAAAAAAACACGGGTCCCTTAGATTTTAACCCTCTACAACATATTTAAAAATGAACAAAATCGGAACGGGACACCTCAGGTACCTTCCTTGTAAGTGTGCCTCTCAAGCACCACCGATGTGCGGCTTTCTACTCCAAGTGTGCCTCTTAAGCACCACCGATCCGACCGACTTGCAAGTCGAAGTACGATGAGAATAAGTTGGAGTTGCCGGTCGATATTCACAATTAAAAGTCGGAGCATTAAGGGTTAATATGTACGGTATACACCGTTGGCTAGTTCAGCGGTCGCGAAAGGGTTAAGGGGATGTGAAAGTGCCATCTGAGGAACCAATCGTTCATGAGACTTTTCTCCGAACTGGGTGTACCGAATCGCTTCGAACATTATAATGTGAACATGGAGACTATAAGGAAGGTCCTGACACTCATGAAATTTCAGGTTTTATCAGAAATTTTGAAAATATCGATAAACAAATTGTAGAATTGAAATTTCGTGAGTGTCAGGACCTTCCTTATAGCCTTCATGTTCATATTTTCAAGTTTGAATCGATTCGGTACACCCAATTTGGAGAAAAGCTTCACGAACGAGAACTCTTTGACGCCACATTCACATCCCCTTAAGGTGATGTGAAAGTGGCGTCGAAGAGGTTTTGCTTATAAAACTTTGCTCCCAACTCGGCTTACCGAATAGTTTGAAACTTTACAACGTGAATAGGAAGACTATAAGGAAGGTCCTGACACTCATGGGATTTCAATTCTATTCAAATTTGTTTATAGATATTTTAAAAATAATTTATAAAAAGGGAAATTTCGCGAGTTTCAGGACCTACCTTAGGGTCTATATACTCACGTTTTAAAGTACGAAACGATTTGAGACACCCAGTTCGTAGAAAAGTTTTATGAACGATCGAGCTTTCGGATGCCACATTCACATCCCCTTAATACCGTGTTATCGGCGATCCATATCGATCGGTCGTCATGATCGATCCGGATGGTCGTTTAAATCGCCGAAAATTATCCTTTGTTTTTTGTTTTTTTATTTAAGTCAGCGAAGCGCTTTGCTATCCAATGCATCTCGTAGGGACGGAGTAGCTTTATTTCATCCCGCTATCGATATTAGACGCGGCGCAATTGTACATTTGTTATTTGGCATTACCCAGACGTTGGGTAATGATTGGCGCGAATCAATGTTTAAGTTTGGCATTTGCACGTTTTATCGAACGTTAGACGTCTCGCGAAAGGGAGGAAGACTGATCCAAGTCGTCTAAACGGAGATCCGTTGATTTTCAATTGGTTTAATAAATGAAGAGTAACGTTCCGTGTCCACCGTATAAGGGATACTTGTAGGAAATAATTACATCCAAAGATGGCCGCCTTTCCGTCGAAGGAATTATTATCACGGCGAGTACAAGCTTCGAACTGTGATAAAGAACTGATCATGCTATTAGTAGCCGGTTGATCGTCACGTACCCTCCTTAATGTCGCATTTTAACAATGTTCGTATAAGCAAACTAACGATTGACAAGTGATCAGCTGTTTTTGACAGTTCGGAGCTTCGCTCGGAAGGATACCGACTCTTCGCTGCAGAAATACGAGTACGCACCCAAGGAATTAATTCGAGGTCTCGAAGCCGAACCCTCGAGCAATGTTCCATCGACAATTGAGAATGCTTCTCAATTGTCACGGAAAAAAAAAAAACAAAAATAAATAAAAAACACGGAAATTATTCCTGGAATACTGCTTTGCGGCGAACGGGACTTTTGGAAGAGTCTTAACAGATAGGCCGCGACTCACTTTGCCCTTGTTACGAGACTCGCAATGTTAGGAATCTCGAGGACGCGGCTGTAAACTTATTTTTCCATAAGAGGAGTTTATTTACAATGTCGAGGGCGGTGGCGAGTATGGAAAGCGAATCGCGATCGGAGAAGCGCTCCTTTCCCAAATACACGATACGAAAAGGTTATCCCTTGATGTGCATTTTATCCAAGATAAAAAATATATATATATATAAATAAAGGTATATATATATATATATAAATAAATATATATATATTATTTGTAAATGGTCTACTCGCTGCGGCTTTGCGGCCGCGTGCGCGTGTCTATATAAAATAGGGATTTTGTTGTGTATGTAAACGAGGAACCGGGTCGAGCCGCAGCGGGCACATCGTCGACACCGACACATCCCGAAGATGTAAAACTTTCAGATAATAAACGTGCATAATAATTGTTGTACGCCTCGGTTTTCGTGATTTAGAGCGTCTCGGGGGGCGAGGAGGGGGAGAGGGGGCGGCGTCCTCGGGGGGTCGTTTTCGATCAAGTCATTCTTTATTCGTAGACAGCAATGAATGATAAATACAGTACTTCGGTGTGGCGAGAATGTCAATAAATAAAACTCCGTGGGCGATCCGTACTGCGAGTAATTGAGAGACGAGGCCTCTGCGTAATGGCTCGGGATGAGAGACCGGGTGGCGGTGCTTTCCGAAAAATTCCTTCCTTAACGTTTTAGGTGATCCGTGGGGGTGCGATATGAAGTCCCTAGCGGACGCGAGCTGAAAAACAGGCAAACTCGATTAGACAGGTGGATTGGAATATCGGCGGACGGCTTAGTTACAATGGCGACGTTCAAAATGTCCTGGGGATGATTTCGAGGCGCGGCGTAAGGGCGAAGGCGTAAGGGCGACTTTTGCTTGGCTGGGCGCCGGAATATGGTCTCTATGTAGGGACCGGTTGATTCGTTCGGATAAGTGGCGCCGATATCTTGGATTTTGATTTTTTACCGATTATGGATACGATCGACAGGACGTTTTGAATGATCTTGCCGACAAACGGAAGCAACATCGATGCATCGATTAATGTATGTTCGGGGTCTTGATATGTAACGTGCGTAAGTGGTGGAAATTCGGATGGCGGAGAGCGAGTTTTGGAGCGACCGTGGAAAGTCTCATGTAATCCGACATTATCCGGGATATGTAAAGGTTGAGACTTTTCCACGCGTCGCTCATCGCGCTGTTTAATGATTAGCAAAACGATGTAACGGGGACGGGGAGTCGGAATCGTTACGGAACACGTCCAATAAAAATAAAACGAATCTCGATTACAAAGGGTCGTCAGTGGCGGGGGGACACGGGGCAATCTTAACACTGTCAATGTAAAGGAAAAGAAAAATGGGATCCCTGTGTAGGGCTTCAAAAAGTCCTGGGGATGATTTCGAAGCGCGGCGAACGCGTAAGGGTGACTTTTGCCTGGCCGGGCGCCGGAAAATGGTCTCTATGTAGGGACCGGTTGATGCGTTCGGATAAGTGGCGCCGATATCTTGGATTTTGATTTTTTACCGATTATGGATACGATCGACAGGACGTTTTGAACGATCTTGTCGACAAACGGGAGCAACATCGATGCATCGATTAATGTATGTTCGGGGTCTTGATATGTAACGTGCGTAAGTGGTGGAAATTCGGATGGCGGAGAGCGAGTTTTAGAGCGACCGTGGAAAGTCTCATGGAATCCGACATTATCCGGGATATGTAAAGGTTGAGACTTTTCCACGCGTCGCTCATCGCGNTCTTTAAGGGGATGTGAAAGTGGCATCCGAAAGCTCAATTGTTCATAAAATTTTTTACGAACTGGATGTCTCAAATCGTTTCATACTTTAAAACGTGAATATGGAGACACTAAGGTAGGTCCTGAAACTCGCGAAATTTCATTTTTTATAAACTATTTTTAAAATACCTATAAACAAATTTGAAAAGAATTGAAATTTAATGCGTTTCAGGACCTTCCTTATAGTCTCCCTATTCATGTTGTAAAGTTTCAAACTATTCGGTAAATCGAGTTGGGAGAAAAGTTTTATTAACAAAATCTCTTCGATGCCACTTTCACATCACCTTAAGGTGATATGAATGTGGCATGTGTACATACCAAAAAGTCAATATACTTATGATACTTTTCTCATAATTCGGTGTACCGAATTATTTGAAGTTTCATCGTTGTGGAGGCCCCAAGGAAGAACGCGTGGCTCGTCAGATTTCATTTTTCGAATAAAAAATGTGCTTTTATCTTGGACATGAACCAAAAGGGCAGATCTTTTCCGAAAAATGAAATTTCATGGACGTCGCGTTCTTCCTTAGGGCCTTCATGATCACGTTTTAAAGTTTCAGATAATTCGACGCACTCAGTTTCGAGAAAAGAAATAAATATTCGGATGTTTTGGTATGTATAGAATGACCCTTTCATATCGCCTTAAGAATTGAAAGGGCTGCTTTTCAGGTCTCAGGGACAGGCGAGGGGTGAGAAGACCTACCGAAGGGCCTGATCGGATGTCTGCTCCACAAGTAGCGACTCTTAACAGGGCTGAGATAGCTGTCTCTCAGATAGAACGGCGTGGAGTACTGAGCGTAACTCGGTATGTAGGGTGCATAGCTAGGGTACCACCATGGGTCCCTCGTAAAGGCGCTGATGGGCGCAGAGGGTAGAGGCTCCAGCAGGTCGAAGAAGGGCTTCCTCTTGAGCAGCGAGTTGAACGAAGGCAGGATGTCCTGAAGCATGTTTCCTGTCGAGCAGAGGAAGGATTAATTCATATATATATATTTTTTTTTTCCTTTCAATTCACCCGAGTAGCACAAAATATTTGTCCTATATTCTCAGCATGTTTCCTGTCGAGCAAAGGAAGGATTAATTCATTTTTTTTTTTTCTTTCAATTCACCCCTAGTAGCACAAAATATTTGTCCTATATTCTCAGTATGTTTCTTACGGAACACGTCCAATAAAAATAAAACGAATCTCGATTACAAAGGGTCGTCAGTGGCGGGGGGACACGGGGCAATCTTAACACTGTCAATGTGAAGGAAAAGAAAAATGGGATCCCTGTGTAGGGCATCGAGCTCGATTCGGAATTACTTGGGTTTACGTCGGGCTTCGCGCTCGGCTCGTTTCGAGGGAAACTTTCCGCATTGTGTGGAAGTACATTGTTACGGCAACGTTTATCTCCGTGTATTAATTCCTAGGGCTGATAGCTGTAGTGATTTTGACAAACACTAGATACGGACTTTTCCACTTTTTCTGGAGGAAATTCCAAATGCATCTTTCATAATTCTTCATTCCCTACATCTTGACGATTGTTTCATGAAAATCGGTCGAGTGCTTCTATATGAAACAGCCAACTCACCCCCTTGCAGGGCCAATCTTGAAGCTTGATTTCACCCCCTAAAAGTGTTTATCCGCCGATAAAAAAAAAAACACGGGTCCCTTGGATTTTAGTCCTCTATAACATATTTAAAAATGAACAAACTCGGAGGTGGGCACCTCAGGTACCTTCCTTGTTAGTCCTGGGGGTTTTACAAAGCGTGGAATTTCTTGAGAATTTCTTGGGAAATTATTGTATACGAGATAAGAGTCATCCCTCATTTACATGCCCTCGGATCGACGTGGAATGTCTTGGATATTCCGCTTTCCGCGGGTATGCAAATTAGGCATTTATCGCTACCAGCCCTGAACTCATGCCGCAGAGGGTTACTCACACGACTGTTACTGTAATTGTGTTAATAATGGCAAACTAGATCACTCGGTGGTCGCCGGAAGGGTTGGCCGCATTAGGGCGAGGGGGTTGCCGCCCGTGATATTGACAAACAATTTGATTATTGACAAACAACTTGACTGTATGGACGGTTCGCTCACTTTGTAATCTTTCAATAATTGTACCACGGCCTGGTAAAGTGAAACCGTGGAACGGGCTGCGAATAGTAATAGTATAACGACCCTGAAACGATACATTGCTTTTCAATTTCATTCCGCCTCCACGTTGGCTTGGTCGCTCTAAAGTAAATTCCTAGATTAGACCTTAACCCCTTGACATAGAAATAAAATGGAATTTTATGCGTACGAAAGAATAGTATTTAATTTGGTCGGAGGCAGTTTTTGAGGTCTGGGAAACGTCAAAGTCTACAATGGCATATAAAATGAATGACGACTCCCAGACGTCATTGCATGTCAAGGGGTTAAGGGGATGTGAAAGTGGCATCCGAAAGCTGAATCGTTCATAAAACTTTTCTACGAACTGGATGTCTCAGATCGTTTCATACCTTGAAACGTGAATATGGAGATCCTAAGGTAGGTCCTAAAACTCGGGAAATTTCATTTCTTATAAACTATTTTTAAAATACCTATATACAAATTTGAAAAGAATTGAAATTCCATGAGTTTCAGGACCTTCCTTACAGTCTCCCTATTCACGTTGTAAAGTTTCAAACTATCCGGTAAACCGAGTTGGGAGAAAAGTTTTATAAACAAAACCTCTTTTAGGGCACTTTCACATCCCCTTAAGGTGAAGTGAAACACGTCGAGGAACTTGATCGACGTCGATAAAGAAGATTTTTCCAAATGCCTACGTTGCCGACGTTCGTTTTTATATTGACAGCTGTGTGGAATTATATTGGATATTGTACCGAATGGCATACTCCACCTGTCGTTTTCGAACAATAAATATCAAGAAGTCGAAGTAAAACTCCAGAAATCCTCTGGNAATAATATTAAAAACAATACCAATTTCAAAAAGATTGTCGCGATCTCTTCCATCCGGAAGTCTCGAGGATTCTTGAAAGACGAGTTTATGTGAAAAAAAAAAAAAAGAAAAGTATCGATTTCAAAAAGCTCATCGCGATCTTGTCCATCCGAAAGTCTCGAGGATTCTCAGGGGTCCCGGCCCGGTTTTCCTTTCCATGAATTTCAATCTCGTGTCCTGTAATTCCGTCCGCTGCATTAGTCTTATGAACGTGCTTTCAGAATAGTGGAAAATAAAGAACATACTGACCTTCCAGAAAACGCCCGGGGAACTAGTCCTCCGCCACGATCGAGAACTCGGAGGATCGGAACAAGAATGGTCGACCACAAAGGGGCGCGGTTCGCACCGGGAGAAAAATTCTTACTCTTCCAATGAGAAATAATTAAAAAAGGAGAAAAATAAGAGAAAACGTCGTTCGACCACGCGGAACATCCTCGGGACCTGTTAGGGGGTGCCGAATTACAGTGCGGACTCCTTATCGTTATCGCGTCCTTTCTTGAATACTTCTGCCTGTGTGCGATATATCAGTGAGTGCTTCATCGTAATTTCTCAATAAAATTTAATTATTAAAAAATACGCGGTATGGTGAAGAAGAAAGAAATGTATAAGAATTGACGTCGGTATCCTTTGTCGTGATAAGTGATAATTGTTGGGTTGGTAAGTAAATAGCGATGACAATAGGGAGTCCACGGTGCATATTAAGTCGAGATTGCGTGGACCAAACGTGTGAATTCTCTCGGAGCGTCGCCGTCCATCGATCGATCCATCGATCGGCCCATCGATCGGTTGCTAGCTCTTCGGCACTCGAAATATCTTCGATTGTTCCCGGCACTCTCGTGATCCACGCAAACGCTTGGAGAGACGGGGTTAGGCGCGGAAAGATAAAGAGAACAAGAATTACACTTGGTAGAGAGAGGTGACGGATCGCTTAAGCTAGAAACGGGGGAACGCATTAAAAGAAAACATGCCATCTCCTGAAAAAGACAGAAATTTCGGGTCCGTGGTTTCTGATTAGCTAGTAGTCCTCAAAGGTTCTCCATTGTTAGTAACACTTGCGCTCTCGTGCGTATTATTTTGGTCAATCTCGATTAGAGCGTGTATTAAGGACTTTCGACTCTTTCCTCGAAATTGCTGATCCTTGCGGGATCCGCGATTTTCCCTCGCTCGGATCTTTTTCCCTATCGACTTCCATTTAACTCGGGTGAATGACCAAATTGTAGACGAATGAAAATTCTATACGAAATATAGTTGCAGTCTGATTCGTCGAAGACTCGATTTTAATTATTACTGTGGAAAATCCGCGGTTTTGAGAATTTTCTTCAGACTTCGATCCACGATTTTCCCTCGCTCGGATCTTTTCTTCTATCGACTTCCACTTAACTCGGGCGAATGGCCAAATTGTAGATGAATGAAAATTCTGAACGAAATATAGTAGCAGTCTGATTCGTCCAAGACTCGATTTTAATTATTACTGTGGAAAATCCGCGGTTTTGAGAATTTTCTTCCGACTGCGATCCACGATTTTCCTTCGTTCGAATCTTTTTCTCTATTGACTTCCACTTAACTCGGCCAAATTGTAGATGAATAAAAATTCTAAACGAAATATAGTTGCAGTCTGATTCATCGAAGACTCGATTTTAATTATTCCTGTGGAAAATCCGCGGTTTTGAGAATTTTCTTCAGACTTCGATCCACGATTTTCCCTCGCTCGGATCTTTTCTTCTATCGACTTCCACTTAACTCGGGCGAATGGCCAAATTGTAGATGAATGAAAATTCTGAACGAAATATAGTAGCAGTCTGATTCGTCGAAGACTCGATTTTAATTATTATTGTGGATAATCCTCGGTTTTGATAATTTTCTTCAGACTGCAAATGTGAGTCGCAGATTTAAGACATGTTATTTTAGGGAACTCAAGAACAAAAGTGTAAAGAAAGGAACGATTATTGCCTTTGGTTTGAAATAATAATGCCGCTCGCCAAAAGCGTGGATTCGGGACTTCCGGTCCATTATGGAGATCGATGGTTGGAATCGAGCTCGGAAACTAATTCAGGATCCAAGTCCACGTGGGTCGGAATCCACGTGCGAGATGAAAATATTCCTCCTTCCTACTTGGCCGTGCTCTAAAGTCTATTTCTACTGTCTACGTCTGAAAGCGCTGCTGACTCTTCTACTCGTAGCTCGGTCTTCAAGGTAGCGACGGCGATTCGTTATTTTTAGACAAAATCTCGCCTCTTCTCCCCGTTCGAGTCGATGGATCGGAGAAAATCGTATAAAATTACCAAGCTATCCAATTCCACGTGCAGAAAGCGACACTTAGAGTAGAATCTCGACCGAGCTTGGCCATGAAGCAATGCTCGAATGTCTTATAATAATTTGCAAATTGCTGGCAATGGCAAACAATCCATTAACGTAATCTCTTAATCGCTGTCGCTATCTCGTAGACTAACAGGCGCGCGATAAGAGAAGAGAAAAGAAAACCGAATAAAAGGAAGCCGAGTCGCGGGAAGAGAAACCAAAACACGAAAAGCCTGCATTCGTGCTCCGAGCGAAACTCTCCAGGATCGCGTATCTCGCGAGGATCTGAAATATCGGCGAAAGTCCGAAAGTACACGGGAATTAATTAGCCTTTAATTCTAGAGTATCTTCGTTCGAACAATTTCCAGCCTTTTTCAAGTTCGGCGGTCATTTCTCGAGAGGTATCATCTATATTCAAAGCGGCGCCGGACGTTTCCGAGCTCCTCGCCCTAATCGATTAACTAAACAATCTCCATGGACGTCGTTTGATCTCTTCCTTTAGGATAGTCCTTCTCCCGGGAAAATGTCGCGCTAAGTCGAATCGGGCCGTTAATTTCTTCTTCGCTTGCAGACTTAGCGCGAGACGGCCCTAAAAAATCCGAAGACCGGCAGCGACCTAACGCGATTACGGGAGCACCTACACGTGGAGGTGTTTACAAGCTCAATTTTCAGTGTGTCCGTCCAGCAGGTGATGTTAAAAGTGGCCTTCGAGTTGTCACCATCGCTAAAAACGGAGGTTCACGGTCACCCGGTCCATGGGAGGGAAACGAAATCGCGTTAAACCTCGACCTCCACGAACTTAACACCCTCGTCGAAATTACTCACGAACCGAAAGTACCCCTTGTTACGTGGAGTTAAGTACGTTCCTTAAGGTGATGTGAAAGTGGCATCGAAGAGGTTTTGTTTATAAAACTTTTCTCCCAACTCGATTTACCGAATACTTTGAAACTTTACGACGTGAATAGGGAGACTGTAAGGAAGGTCCTGAAACTCATGAAATTTCAATTTTTTTCTAATTTGTTTATAGGTATTTTGAAAATACTTTATAAAGAATGAAATGTCGCGAGTTTCGGGACCTACCTTAGGGTCTCCATATTCACGTTTTAAAGTATGAAACAATTTGAGACACCCAGTTAGGAGAAAAGCTTTAAGAACGATTGAGCTTTCGGATGCCACTTTCACATCCCCTTAACGCGGATGCTCTTAAATCGTAGTTTAAACCCGTTTTATAATTTTACATAACAATTAAACCATGGTTTCTTGTTTGCCCCGGGTTGTTCAATGCAAAATTGTCGATATCGAACAACCTGATACACGTACGAACTTAACACCCACGTCGAAATTACTCAAGAACCGAAAGTACCCCTTGTTACGTGGAGTTAAGTCCGTTCCTCAACGCGGATGCTCTTAAATCGAAGTTTAAACCCGTTTTCTAATTTTATACAATATAATAATTAAATCATGGTTTTTGTTTGCCCCAGGTTGTCCGATACGAAGTTGCGGATGTTCCCATTGAATAGGACTTCGATATCGAACAACCTGATACGATTTAGCCTCGGCTCCCAGAGATGTGGATGTCCCGTCCTGACCAAGATGTCTCTTTTCCGGGTTTCCGTAGGGTTTGTCCAGTGGATAGGTGAAAAGAGTGAGGTCCAAGATGGCAGGTTCCAAGAGTGTCCTCGAAATCGGCGGTCGGTCGGTCCAAGGGAGAGAAACGAGGGCTTTGGGGGTCGCTTCAAGCTGCGACCTCCACCAGCAGCAGCGGGGCTGCAACGTCGAATTCATCGTCAGACTCGCGGATGCCTCTCGGTGTGTTCTCGGTTTCGGATTTAACTCTCGTTATCGCTCGTTAACGCGGCTTCCCGTGTCGCCAGGAGGCCGGGGTTCCTCTCGTTAGTGCCTCTTGCAAGTCTCGCAGCGGCGCACTAGGTCGCCGCAGCAGCGCACGAGGTCGCTCGCGAGGTCCACCTCGCAGCTCCCTCAGAGGCGCGTCTGCAGGACCTGGTGTTGTCTCAGGACGAACGTGATCACATGCTTCTCCCTCTTGACGTACTTTTGGAAGATCTGATCGCGCTTCCGTTGCTTCTGTTGCAATTGACGGTACACGGCGAGCCACTTGCTCGGATTGTGGCCTGGAAAAACAGTCATAGTCAGAGGCATGCACGAGGTCCAGGCTCCGGACACTCTCGGGCCTTTTTCGATGGTTTTCTCATGGTCTTGCCGATTCTGGCCGGGACGAAGACTCCCCATGGGACACATCTTGGACGGGGCGAATGACTCTTGGAGGCGACTTCGTGCGGTGATCCCCAGGTCGGGCTTTTAGACCCTCCTGGGGTATGGCTGATCGCAGACCACCGAATGACTCCCTTGCGTGGTTCACTTGTTACTATGAACTATGACCTCGGTGGTATTAGGTTGCTCGATATACACTTGCGGATTTTAATATCGTTCGACTTTACTAAAATCCGCAATTTACAATATCTGACAATGTGAATGTCGTTAGCGAACTTGCGATCCGATTGACTTGCACGTGCGAGGACGGGCCACGGTTTTGTCGCCGGTTTTCCACGATTTTACATGGCTTTACATGGTTTTACATGGTTGGACGTTTACACGGCTCAGGTACACGCTGATGTATGAGACACTTTCTGACGATTTTACATGCGAGCATGTGCAATTACGGGTATAACTATGCCTCGCACTCCACGTATGACGAGCTATGTCGGTTCTGATGTGACTTTGGGGTGGGTTTTTAATCCAGGTCTTCATTACTCGAGATTTAATTATTCGCCCGCTGTTAAAGACGGAATAAATCGCGCGGTTTCCCTCGCAGAGATCGCGTTTCATCTAATTTCATTCCCTTTCGAATGTGACTATGATCCTTGGCTCGGAACTCGAAGAATTGGAAAATCTAAAAAATCTTGTCTTAAATAAATAAATAAATATATATACATATATATGTTTATAATATATATAATATATGTATTATATATATTATATATCATATAATATATATATATCCTCCTTTCCCTCCTCTACTCAAGAAATCAGAAAATAAAACATACATATATATGTGTGTCGGAGTTTCTTCTCATGTTCGTATACTTTCCAACGTTTATATATTTAAATAAATAAATATATATATATCATACGTATATATATGATCTCGTTGATATAACGTATAAGTATAGTAACTTAAATACAAAGAGGTGTAGAGTAAAATTAGTTACGTTATATATGATATGACAATCGACGATTAATCGTATGAATTACAGCTACGTTGTTCATCGACTAAGACGTGTACGGGGGAGGGACACATAAGTGCTGACAAAACGACATAGATCGATCACGGGACAATTCGATTTCGGGTCGAGTGCAGGTTCGAGGAGGTAACAAAGGAGTTACACAGTTTCTCGTCGAGAATGGCGCTTCCGGTTTCCGAAATGGCCGCGCAGCTCTACGAGGCAGAGCCGCGGCAGCGGTCTTGGATTTCTCCATTTCATTTCCCTTTTTCATAATATATATCATTGTCTAACCCCTCTACGTATTTATTTACAGGAGATGCGCGTCTATGCCTCCATTTCCGGAACTTCGACGACGACTCGACCGCGAATCGGAAGCCAAAAGCGCCTTTGTTACAATGAGAACTTAATCTAGGGCTCCGAATACGAACGATGGTCTTTCTTTCATTTTTTTTGTTTTTTTTTTTTCGTTTTAGCGTGGTTATTGGATGGTTCTCTCGACGGCACGATGCGGTGGCGTTTTTTTTTTTCTATTTTCGTGTTTTTAGTTTCGAACTGGCCTTACTCGGACTTTTTGGACTTGTTTAGTACGTACCGGGAGTGAGACGCTCTACGGGTTTGTATTGGTGAGCGTAAAGTTGCCTCGGCGAGTATCCGTAGATTTCACGGTGAACGGGGAGGTACCTGCAGAGATATATTAATCGTTATTATTAAATGTATTTCAAGTGGATGGTTAGAATTTAGCTCTGAATTATCTCCGCAGAGAGAAAAGAATCACGAAGGTGTGCAGAGGAAGGTGGCAATATTTCGGATGGTGCCTTAAGGTGATGTGAAAGTGACGTCAAAGAGGTCTCGTTTATTAAGGTTACTTTCGCATGTTGATTCAAGAATACTTATCGTAATGCCTTAATTCCGGATAGACAATAGGCACCCACTGTATACGAAATTAAGACCCCCTTGATATTAACTCCAGAGAAAGTTTCGCAAAAGAAATATATAAAAATTTCTTTTTTTACATTGGATGTTCAACGTTTTGGGATCCTAACGTATGTTAATTGTAGTAGAGAATGAAGTCAAATCCTTAACCGAAGGTTTAATATTTTTTAATTCTACACGTTAAAAGCAAAATGGTATTGGAGATATGGGCACCTTCCTCTACATTGGTGTATATGATTGTTTTCCCATAAGCAATGACAACACAATATCCATAAAGAAAGCATTTATGTTCGTCAATTTAAATAATAAAAAGAGCCAGGGCCAATAAGCACGAAATTTAACGAAAGCAAAGAGACTTCATAATAAAAGAAAAAGAAAAAAAATTGCAGATCATGAAACTTTAGTGGACATTGTGATATGGCTGATAATTTTGCTTGGTCCAAGGATGAAATTCCAAATGAAATCCTACAAGATGGGAAACGTGATGACACTGTCAAAACGTGAATTTATCGTATTCTTCTTTTGTGGGGACTTTTTGTTCTTATATGATTCTATTAGAAGGTTGAGGTGATGGGTCAGAAGTGTTGGTAATGTCTACGGAACGATTTTATGCTAATTGAAGCTCGATTTAGTGCTCACCTGTATCCGGGTACGTTGATGCGGTCGGCGGCGTGGAGAGGATCATCGAAGATAGATTTTCCAAAGGGCCAAGAGCTGGAGTGCAGCTCGGGGAAATCAGAGCGGAAAATTCCGCGGGGCCTGTGAGTATGCTCTGGGGCCCTTATGTCGTCGGTGCCTGGCAATAGAATCGAAAAATCATAATGTTATTCGTTATTAGATAAAGATGATCCACCACTTCTGGTACATTATCGTCGTCCATAAGGGGTCCGACACATACGGGAACAGGAACGCATTTTAAGGTGATGTGAATGTGGCGTCGAGGAGGTTTTGTTTATAAAACTTTTCTCCCAACTCGGTTTACCGAATAGTTTGAAACTTTACAACGTGAATAGGGAGACTATAAGGAAGGTCCTGAAACTCATGAAATTTCAATTCTTTTCAAATTTGTTTATAAGTATTTTAAAAATAGTTTATAAAAAATGAAATTTCGCGAGTTTCAGAACCTACCTTAGGGTCTCCATTTTCACATTTTAAAGTATGAAACGATTTGAGANTAATATTTTCTTTTCATCAGATGTGCAAAACATTTCGTTTCGTTTTAATACCAAGTATTTTTTAAATATTATCTGCCGAATACATTAGAAACGTTTTAAAAAAATATTTAAAATCAAAATCACACGTTTTGCTCCCATAATGAATTCGCGACCAGCAAATCTTTTCCGTTTCAAATACCGAGATTCGGTGAAAATAATGAAATTCGGAAACTGGTTGCCGCAAACTTCTATCGTGCATCGTTATGGACGTGATTCACGTCAGCGGTAATCAGGAATAGAATTTAAAATGACGTGAATTCACGTCAGCGGACAACCAGGAATAGAACTTGAAAAGACGTGAATTCACGTCAGCGGTCGCGAACGTGTTAAGGTGATTACTACGCCTATCCCTCCATATCAAACTCGTGAACATGTAATCATCTGGAAACCTGTTTAAGGTATATCCTTTTATGTGGTTCTAGTTTATATGATTTCTTGGGTTTTCGTTATTATCTCTTTTTTTTAGTTTAGAGAACTCACCGTGGATGTCGAAGAGCGGCTTGGTGAGAAGAGGAGGGCTCCTGTGTCTCGCCAAGAGGGGAGTCTCACTCGGGTAGAGCTTGTCGATGTCGGCCAGACGGTCCAGGTGATCTCTCCAGGCTTTCTCGGCGTCGAAGGGCCTCACTGGATTTCGCAATTCAGACAAGAACCTCTTAATATTCCATTAAGACCCTGCCGAGCGCTGCTCGCCACGAACGATACCCCCTTGGGGACTTCAACAAATTTCCCACTTTTTTTTTTATTTATTTTTTTTTCTTTTTCTTTGGCACGTACTCGTCAAAAGAAAAATCGCAACGATTGTCGCGACACTCGGCGCGACTTGGACCGTCACGGGGATTCCAAAGAACCAAGCTCGATTTTTATGGGAATCGGAACGATTTGACATGAATTAAGGTGACACGAAAGGGTCACTACATATATATACTAAACGTCAAAATATCTTCGTCAAAAAACTTCAGCACGTGATTAGGAAGGCCCTAAGGAGGAGCGCGATGCTCGTGAAATTTCGTTAAAGGTAGAAAAATTTCTTTTCATTTACTCTGGACTAGAACCAAGATCAGATTTTTTGTGACAATATGACATTTCACGAGCGTCGCGTTCTTCCTTAGGGCCTCCATAATCACGTATTAAAGTTTCAAATGATTGGTGCACCAAGTTTTGGAGTTTATATATATAGAATGATCCTTTCATATCGCTTTAACGTGAAGATAGCGGAATGACGTCGCGATAAATAAAATGGAGTTTAACTTAATAGAATAAATCCCGAAGAAGGGGATTCCGCGATTCCTCGGCTTGGTTCGCGGCTTCCTCGTGATCGATCTTCGATCGATCGATTCCCTCGAAGGAGGTCGATTCGATTTCTTTGCCTTGGGTGTCAGGTGAATTGGATCACCTTAGGCGGGATTCTTTTCCAGAATTCTTGGTTTTAGGGTGGATTCGATCGAGTAGTCTCTCCTTCGAGGGGATCGAATCACGTTTTCCTATGTCTACGTATCGAGGACTTCACCAGCGACAAAAAGACTGACATGTACGAACACCTTTCCATTAATTGCACCGAGCCTCGTGGGTATAAAAAGCTCGTTATAGGTGAAATATCGAAATATCGAAATATTGAAATATCGAAATGTCGAAATGTCCTCCCTCGAAATTCCCGTCTCCCGCCGGAAAGGAGAAAAAGTCATTCCGAGATCCGGCGCCGGCTGGCTAATCGACGAATCGGAGCTAATCCTCTCCCTTTTAGTATCTTTTAGTTTAAGCGGCTGCGCATCTCTTTATGAAATGTTCCTTTATTTCTTTTCCTTTTTGTTGTTTCTTTTTTTTGTCGGTGGTTACTGAGCAGCGTGCGGCAAATCTACGTGCAACGACTCGGTTAGTCTCAAATTGCCAATGTAAGCGAAGGATGGAAGACGTACCGAGACGGATAAGATTGCGTCGATAAGATTAACCGACCTTGGTGGTTTTTTACTTCCTCGACACCGAGGTAACGGCAAGGAGCTGTTCTCGATGTGCAAACAAGGACTTTTTATGGATCTCCCATTTTTCCATCCCCATTGCCGCGGACGACGGCGATGAAGAAGGAAGTCGCGTGCCCGCGGATTAACACTTTTTTAGATTAGACGTTTTTCGAGATAAAACGCGCGATTAAACTTTCGCGAACCGTGATCGGAGGAATTATCGCTCGTTTTTTTTTTTTTTCTTCTTACGCGTATCATACGATATACGCGAGGGAAAATCGTCACGAGAAAAATGGAATATTAATTTACTAGGATCTCCGACGGTGTTATTATTTTTCTTTTTTTTTTTATTTCTTCTTTTAAGAATATTTTCGAATGCACATCGAGAAGCATTCTTGGCGTCAGGAAATTTTTATTGGGCGATTTTATATGAAGACAAATATCGATTTCAAAAAGCTCGTCGCTTTGAATCTCGTCCTTCCGGAAGTCTCGAGGATTCTTTAAGGGGATGTGAAAGTGGCATCCGAAAGCTCAATTGTTCATAAAATTTTTTACGAACTGGATGTCTCAAATCGTTTCATACTTTAAAACGCGAAAATGGAGACACTAAGGTAGGTCCTGAAACTCGGGAAATTTCATTTTTTATAAA